TTCACAACCCAGAGAAGACTCTTTGATTATTACATAAACTTAATTTTTGTTTTCTCTCAAACTACCTTTACATATTAGTATTTAATTAAAAAACAAATTGGTATAACATAGAATATATATTTTTTAATATTTTTTATCTTAAGTTTAAATTTAAGTACTAAGAAATATTTATGTTCTTAAATACAACTGAAGGATAAATTTATAATGTATAAAGAAGCAATTGTTTTCTAACTATAGCCTAATAAATCAGTACATCATAACAGCTGCCCCAGGCAGTAAAGCAGTGGTAATAAATATGAGTCATGAAACAATATGATAACTGTAATTACACCTGACTGTTCAAGGAGATGATTGTTTCCTCAGACCCAATTTTTTTAAAAGATAGTCTGATAATTTAGTTCAGTAACATGGACAGCTGTCAGTCTGACAGTTTATCCAAATAAAAATAACAAGCTAAATATTTACTGATGTACAGCAATATTAAAAATAGCACGACTGCTATATATAACTGATAAAACTGTTATATTAATACATTGAGATATTTAACTCTCTACTGATTAAAACTTTAAAAATATAAAACTATATGTGAAATGACAACATTTTGGCATTTAATCTATTTTCTTATAACTTTATTTTAGAATCTATGCTCTATTCTTTTTTATGAAACATTTCTATATCTAAATTATTTGGTGTCAGAGACTTACAGGTTCTAGTACTGACTTTGATACCTCCTTTATTAGTGGTAAATAATAAAAAAAAGTCTTATAGTATACCTGAGGGTATTTTAAAAATTAGATATGAAATTCATTTAGTATAGCAACTGACATATAGCAACTGTAGGAAAGCATTAGTGTATTGGGGTTTTTTAAAGTTGCTATAAGCATCTACTTTTCTTTTTGTTCCTTCAGTTATCTGTATGCTCTTCCTAAGTATGCACTCTTGAGTATTGCATAAGAAGGTTTAAGGGAAAAAAAAGAATGGTTTCTATCTTGTTTAGTGCTCTTATCAAGGGAGAAGTCAATACATTCAATGAATTTTTTAATACACTATCTAGAAGTTAATATTAATAGTAAAAGATTCCTTTTTCCTGATAGCGCAATCCTTGCAATTTTATTATACCTCAGGAACTGACTGATACCCGACAATTTAAATGGCCTTTCAAGTTCCCACGTTGTTGCTCTTCTTTAGCCGTTTTATTGTTTTCTGAATAATGACCTTACCTAGACCTGCCATTTTGGTCAATGACCAAATCACAAGACTCTGTGTAGGCAATGAGGACCACAGAATTGAAAACTGCTTTAGCAGATATTTTGATCATCTTAACTGAACAAAGAAGACTGCACAAATGATTCAGTTACCTTTGGGAAAAAATATTATTTACCAGGAAAAGAGAGCACTATGTATAATTTGAAAAAAAAATAATTTATAAACAATATTTTTTCTGTTAGTGACATCATTCCCCGTACACATTGTCCAAAGGATAGTTTAAGTAATTTACATAAACCTTATTTTTGCCTGAAATGTTAATGTATTCAAAATTGTTTAAGTTATATATGAATGCATGCTTGTTGCTAGAAAAAAAAACACTCAAACCATATAGAGAGTACGATGTAAACCCACCTGTGCACCAAACCCCTGCCCTCAACCCCGCCACCCCACGGGTACACGGGTACCATAATGGCCCTTGAGTGGCGATTACGAATGACAGTTTTGAAAGCTTCCTTCTAGGCTGTTTCCACACCTTTACGTTATCTGTGCTGTTGTTGGAGTGCAGAATTCTCACTTCATAGACATGGAGAAGATGTAAGAACTATATGGAAAAAAAATCTTTCGGGGAGATTAGAGGGGGAAAAGAGCAGACGGGGAACATGAGCGGTTCTCTAGACGTCACTCAATTGACTCCTCACCGCGCCCCCGCAGGCACAGGCTGTTCCCAGCTTTCATTAACAGTGAAGCACAACTCAGCCTGAGACGCCTGCAAGGTTATGTTATCAGCAAAAGGGGGAGCTGGAATTCAACCAAATTCTACTTTTTCCAATACTTGAAATTTAGCAGTCACGCCGTATTACCTCTCCATGTCTTTTTCTTTCAGAACTCTAAATTTTTTTTAAATGTGAAGTTTCTTCGAGATACACAAACAGATGCACATGCATATGCAAACATACACATATATACACACATGCATGTGAATCTTAGGGTTACCCGATAAACAGAATAACAGTTTTGCGGGGGAAAAAGATGAATAATTGGAATAACTTTTTGAGATCATCCATTATAACAACCTTCAAGAGACCAGAGGGAAATGGTTTTTTAATAGATTTTATTTTTAGAGCAATTTTAGGTTCACAGGAAAATTAAATGGAAGGTACAGAGATTGCCTCAGTACCTCTTGCCCTCACATGTGTATAGTCTCTCCTCTTATAAATATCCTCCTCCGGAGATTTTTTTTTTAATATGCTGAAATTCCACTTTTATAAACAAATGAGAAAAAATATCATTCCATATTTATGAAATATTTCGGCCCAACAGGTGAGCCAGTTGACTGTAGAACATTATTGTTGGATGAGTATAGGCAATATATTCCAGAATTTCTACTATTTCAATTATTTAGCATTTTCAGAGCTTTGGGTATTGGGATCTCAGTAGACTTTGAATTGCAGCCGATCAGTAAGTGCCACCGTGCTGAGCATGTCAAAGGATAAACCTGATTCTGGAATGTTTCTAGACACAATCTGGCCATTCACCTTCAGAATGTCCCTCTGGTTGGTCTCAACCAGCACTCAGGCCATTCCTGGGCTCTGTCTTGATGGAGGCACATTCCTTAATGAAAGGCCATAGTTAATCTATCAGAGATGGAAATTGAATCTCTCTTCTTGAGCTTGAGCCTACAGCACAACTAAGAACAGAGAATCTTGTCCATTGCAAACTTATAGAGCCAGAGTCCTTTTTCTATGTAACAGGTTGAAATCTATTAACAATCAGAATACATCATTTGTTGAATTTCTCTGTATGTTTCTAAATGAAATATTCAGTCACTTATCAGCTATGACGTCTATCTGGACAGTTTCAGTAACATTTCAAATTTAGCAAAAAAAAAGTAATAATTCTAAAAATTACCAGGAGAAAGGGCAAACATGAATATTTAGGATAGATGATATAAGACACATATACTTTTAGTAGTTTAATAAAAGATATTTCTTCCACCTAAGATATTCATTAATGGTTTCTGAGGGCAGAGAAAACAGGATGGGAGAAGAAAGAGGATACAGAAAAGAATCTTTCAGAGAAATTCTGACTGTATTATGAATTTAAAATATAGCTGTAACATATCAAAAATATATACATTTATAATTTTGCCCTTGTTGGTGCTTAGAAATCAATACTCCAAAATGAAGGGCTTAACAGCAGCCTCAGAAGCAAAAGTTTTTCTCTGACCTTCTCCTGCCCTCCTGTCTCTCAGCCCCATTCTCCCCTGAGACTCTCCATGGACAGTAGAATCCCTCTTCCCCAAGGCGGGTCATAGAAACCAGAACCCTGTTTCCCAAAAGCCAGCTATGAAACCTAAAAATATTGCTCTAACTTTCCGTATGTCTTTCTTTGTAAATACTGGCCATAAACAAATTATCTGACCTAGCTTGTTTGACTGTAGGTCATAAGACGCCCATTTGAGCAAGGTTCTGACCCACACCCAAAAGGAAGGATGCTGCACAGAGAGGCCAAGAAGGATCTAGACAGACAGGCCTTCCTCTACTCAGTCTATTAGCATTAGATCATACTCTTTTTATCCGATCATATTAAAGCTGTCTATACCTTGTTAAACCTATACATAAAAATGGACAAATTTCCCCCTGTATATTTTGGTCTTCATTCCAAAAGCTCCTGTAATACACGTTAAATAAACTTGTATGCCTTTTCTCCAATTAATCTGCCTTTTGTGAATTAGTTTTTCAGCAAAACTTCCCCTACATTCTGTATAGTTTTCAGAGTTATTAGAAATTCCAAATAATTTACATTATAATAAATAAAATTAAACTGAATACTAACTAGAACTCTTAACACAACTATTAATATATGATTAATAAAAATTCTGGTTTACCATTATTATTGTTTTTACTTCATAATCTTTTGCTACTGACAGAAAAGAGGAAGAGTACTTTTCCTGATTAAATGTGCTATGCATCTTTCTGATGTTTGGTTACACTTATACTAATTATTGAGTAAAATTTTTCATAGTCTTAGTTTATAAAATACTCAAAGTTCAAAATATAACATGTGCTTTCTCATCAATATAATTTTGTTTAAACTCTCCCGTGAAATATTTAGTGGATTATTTCTTATTCACTTTTTTCCTTTGAAAAGCATACATTGTTTCATGTGGATAAGTTCTTATGGAATTGTCCAGAAGGAACAAATGCATGATAATACCAAATGAAGTCTTGTAGGCAATGCATAATTCATACTGTTGCTGGAAATGGAATTTTTCTTTTCAGTTCAGTGAACCTAAGCATCATTACTAAAACAATTTAGCACCTTTCTCGTCCGTTTCTAATTACAAAGCTCTTTTACTATAAATTACAATGAATTGATATTTAGCACACGCATATACAATCTCTGGAGTGTGTATACCTTCTCCCTCACCTAGCACATGCTTTCCACACCTGAATATGTAAACAGGTGCACTTCAAAAAATAAGTATGCACACATTTTCCTATGGCGGCGACTGTTTTCCCCTCGTTTATTTCATTTTATATTATGCCAAAATATATTAAACACAATGTTTTAGGAAACAAAATAAACAATGATCTGCAGGTAAGCAGGCTTTTAATTCTCTGTTTAATCATTTTTTTTTATTCTGAGACTTTTCTTAACAAGTCCCAAAGAATTAACCAATAACCTCTGACATATATTCCTTCTCTTCACCATTAGAGTCACTGGAACGTGCAAAAGAAAAAGAAAGAATCATAGAACATATATTTGTCTTTATTTGTCTTATTATTTTGCCAAGTAGACCACTTTTTCACTTGGCTCACATTTAAGCACCTTTTTTATTAGGCCATTTGTTAATTTCACTTTCTAGATGAGGCTTCCCCTGACCATGCTAAAGTTGCCACTCTTCCATTCCAGTCCTTGCTCTTTGCTCTTCTTTAACGTTTTGTCTGAGCACTTAGTGCCATCCTAACAACACATCTGGGTAATGATCCATGTTCAGCACATTGATATATCCCGAGCATCTAGAACAATAGATGGTACATAGCTTACTGTAACTAATAGTTGCCGAATGAGCAAAAAAGTTTCATTTTGATGATGAGAAAACTGAGGCATGGACGAGTTAGCTAGTTGGCTCAAGCTCATACAATTCAGATGATAATGCCTGGTTGCAAAGTCTCAGTCACTACACTATCGTACTTCCTGTCCTTGGGAGGATCAACGTTCACCTGCTTAAGTAGCCTGGCACTCCACTACACTAACTTTCCTTGGGACAAGCAAAATTTTGTATTGTCATGGCACAATCATAAGAACAGACTGATGAGAAGAATGAATGGCGGCTCTGAGGAAAAATGATTCTGAGGAAGTGCTTTCCTTAGGAGAATAAACTGAAGAAAGTTTTCTTTGTTGTCTATCAGCAGCATACCTAGAATATTTCACAACTGAATTGGACCTTTTTTTTAAAATACTCCCTTGCTTATGTGCTGAATCATTTCTTCCCAGAGTTTATATGTTGAAGTCCTAACACTTAGTAGCTCACTCAGTAGTGAATGGGACTGCACTTTGAGATAGGGCTTTTAAAGTTGTAAATAAGGTCACATAGATATGATTGTTTCTAATTCAATCTCACTAGTGTCCTTATAAGAAGAGGCGATTAGGACACAGATACACACAGAGGGAAGAACATATGAGGACATGGAGACAGCAGCCATATGAAAGCCATGGAGAGAGGCCTCAGAAGAAACCAAACCTGTCAACACCTTAGTGTTGGACTTATGGCCTATAGAGCTGTGAAAAAATAAATTAGTTTCTGCTATTGAATACCACCCAGCCTATGGTATTTCTTGATGGCAGCCCTAAAAAACTAATCGTGAAAAAAAATTTATCCAGACAAGAAATGCAGAGAGAAAATTTTCTCTTCTTGACATTTGCATGTGTGTGCAAGAAGGGGAGTAATTAAAACAAAATAAAAATATAAAGACTATGAACTAATATTTTCAACCATATTAATGTGTATTTTTTATGTATTTTTTTTAAAGGAGGGAGAGTTGTATGAAGAAATGCTTTCAAAAAGAGAGAATTGGCTCAGAGAATTTTTTGCACAAAGAATGCCAGAAGTGAAATAATTAAAGTTCTGTTTCTTCTTCTTTAGGGTTAGTATGCTACTGTTTATCTAACATCTACTGTTTGAACATAAGAATGTGTCATAGCACAGGATTAGAGACACAAGCCCCGCCCCCCCATAATAGTCCAATTTGTTCAAAATCTTTAGGAACTTACTCTCAAAACAAATGTGTGCAGCCCAGTACACATATATCTAAATTATTTAGAATTTAGACCAATAAGGGACTTTTGGGGGCAGGATTATTTTATCACTGATAGTGTTTCAGATTGCCAGTGCATTGTGATGATAAAAAAAGCCAACACTTAATGCATGTTATTGTGTTTAAACCTGTTACAGCTAATGCAGCCCCTTGTTGCCGGCCTTCCTCCCATGCAATCCCAACTCCTTACTTTTACTGATATTTTGTTTCTTCCTCCACAATAACCTCTCCTGCTTTCCATTCTGGTATAACTAGAATCATTTTTCAAAACAAATATTTTTTAATTTATCTACATAGTATATCATGCATTTTACCAGTGTAAAAATGAGGATGTAGAATGGCCTGCCCACTGGCAAAGTGAATGATTCCAAGGTCCCTTTTGGTTCTGTAGGAAGATGGCCTATTTTTTCATGGAATTGTTTTTTCCAAGGCAATTAAAATAATTTCTAGGCATTGGCACAGGCCTGAGATTCAGACCTATTTGGACTCGGTCAGCGTTGACCTGGGAAAAATGCGTCGTGCCAGGAATTCCATATGAAACTCTCCTCCCTAAGTACTTGGGAGGCAGGTGCTGTTGTTTCCTGCTTATTTGTTTAGGAGATTCTCAGATTCCCCGTGTTTTCCTCCTCATCCTGCTGATAGGAATTCTCAGAAACGACTTTGAAATAACAGACATGTCTCCCTCATCCTGAGTGTCGCTCAGCCAAAAGACAGACTAGTTGAGAAGATCAAGAACAAAGCTGCAAGATGGTAAATGCTACAGTCACTTGCATTTATTTATTTAGTTGACAAACCCAAATGTGCCAGGAATTGCTCTGACATTAATTAGTATTAGATATTAACACTAATATTAATATGACATTGATCTAATCTATATTACTAGTAATATCATATACCAATGAATATTAGTTATTCATTAATATTATTAGTTAACTAATATTAACATATTTAATACTTGTGACAGCAGTATGTGACAGATACTATTAGTACTGCCACTACTCGAATGGAGAAATTGAAGCACAAAGCTATAAAGTTATTTGCCCAAGGCACGCAGCTAGTCTGTGGCTAAACTAAAATTTAAAACAAAGCCACGGGTCTCCAGATACTGCGCTATCAGCCTCTAAGTTACGTAACCTGCCGCAGACAGATGTACAGCCACTGCCTCCAAACAACCACCCGTAGCTCTAATTTGCTGAGTTGGGGCGGGTTCTGGAACCGTGCACAAATTTCCCCTGATCTTTTTCAGTGATATATTTCTTGGTGCTGAATCCTGCTTACTGCTCCCCACTCCCTATCTGTTACAACTTGTTCTCTTCTGTTTGGAGACAGTAGTCTCCCGTCCGCCGTCTGTGTCCTTTCCTGCAGTCTGGTCTCCATTTGGTCCACTCAGTGCCCATAAAGTGTAATAACTGCCCGACTGTGAGTACAAAATGACCAGCAATTATGGGATTGTAGGGGAATTTGAGTGATAAACTCCTTGAATATAGTTAGGGTTTTTAAAAAATAAATTTAAATAAATTTCTAAAGTAGGAGAAGGTTGCCAAATGTCTCTGGGAGATTATGGACGTTGTTGGGTATAATTTAAATCCAATACAAAGTGTTAAAATCTAATCTTGAACATCTTAAATATTTATTTATTCCTTCAGTGTTCTCAAAAACACCAAATCTATGTTCTTTACCTTCCTTGACATCCTTCATCCTAACCTGCTACTACATATGATTTCCTAGTCTCTTGATGGATTAATTTAAACATATTTGTATTGTATTCTTTTGATTCTCATTTTAGAAATAGAAAGAAAAAAATGCTTTTTGTCTCTTTTCTCTTAGGAAGAGGGTGTAAAAACAACAAAATGCTAAAAGCCAAGACAAAACAGTTCACAGAAAAACAGAGGACTATAAGAAAGTATCTAAGAAATGAGAAGTAATGTTATGTATCCTATGTTAGGAGAGACACTTTCAAATAGAAGGAGCTTCTCTGATGTCAAGTCTCCACAGTTGCAAAATAATTACATAATTTAAAATCTGTTAAGATTGAAACATGTATACAGAACGGTTTTAAGACTTACACAATTAGAGAAGGGAGGAGTCGGAAAGATAGTTTTATTTTTCTATTATGAACTCTTTGCTATGCCTCTTTAAAAATATATTTTATTAAAAAATGGACAAATTGAATAGTTTTATGCAGCATAGTTAAATTGATTTTTAAAAGCATTTCATAATTCTTTGAGACAGCACAATGTCAGATTGCCAAACCAGATTCACAAGAACCAGAGACCTTAACCAATCCTAGATTCTTTTAATATTGCAAAGGGTCCTGGCAATTACAAGCTACAGGCAAAACATGGAGACATCTGAGACCATCAACAAGGCTCCCTCATCTTTCCTGTTCACAGTAAGATGTCTTCTGTTTCAGATTTAATCTATGAGGTTATAAGTGACACAAGTGGGAGCAAAAGATACTTGAAGGATATTGTGATAATTAATCTTATGGATCAACTTGATTGGGCCATGGGGTGCCCAGATATTTTGTCAAGCATTATTCTGGGTGTTTTTGTAAGGATGTTAAGATTAGCACTTGAGGCCGGGCGCTGTGGCTCACGCCTGTAATCCTAGCTCTTGGGAGGCCGAGGCGGGCGGATTGCTCAAGGTCAGGAGTTCAAAACCAGCCTGAGCAAGAGCGAGACCCCGTCTCTACTATAAATAGAAAGAAATCAATTGGCCAACTGATATATATATATATAAAAAAAAAATTAGCCGGGCATGGTGGCGCATGCCTGTAGTCCCAGCTACTCAGGAGGCTGAGGCAGAAGGATTGCTTGAGCCCAGGAGTTTGAGGTTGCTGTGAGCTAGGCTGACGCCACGGCACTCACTCTAGCCTGGACAACAAAGCGAGACTCTGTCTCAAAAAAAAAAAAAAAAAAAAAAGATTAGCACTTGAATCAGTAGACTGAGTAAAGCAGATTGCCCTCCCCAATAAGGGTGGGCCTCATCCAATCAGTTCAAGGCCTGAATAAAACACAAAGGCTGATTATCCTGTGAGTAAGAGAGAATCCCTTCTGCCACACTGCCTTTGAGAAGGGACATTGATTTTTTCCTGACTTGGGGTCTCCTGAGTCTCCAACTGCTCACTGCATATCTTGGGACTTCCTGGCCTCCATAACAGCAAAAGCCAATTCCTTATACTTAATCTCAATCTATCTATTTATTTATTTATATTCTACTGGTTATGTTCCTCTGGAGAGCCCAGACAAATATGTGTATGAAGGAAGTCATGTCAAAAATGGAATCTCTCTCTTTTTTTATCCCACTTATTACATAGCTTATGTGACATTTTCTAGTGACCTATGCCCATAAATCAATAAATTGGAAGTTTATTTAGCAGGTATACGCTAAAACTTTTTACTCTTAAGATTTTCACATTACTTCCATTATTTCTTTCACTAATAAACCATTAATCTGTTTACCAAGAGGAACTGAGTGGATGTTTGAAAGGGGATTTGCTTTGCTCAGCTCTTTCCTTTTGGGTGTGTCTGGTAAAGGAAGAAAACAAGTTATAGAACTTCAGCTAACATTTCCTTCCCAGCCTTGCATTACTACTTGCTAATACGTAGCAGAAAAGAGAACAAGTGAGGATTTTATCCACATCTGAAAAACATTTATAAGACCAGGATAATACTGCTGTACTATAAGGGAACAAAACC